TCTACTCTACTCTACTCTACTCTACTCTACTCTACTCTACTCTACTCCGTTCCTATTCCTATTCCTATTCCTATACGATGCTTGGAGGAATGAAAACATTAGAGAAAAATTAAATTTACTATTAATCAATGGAACTGTGCCTCCCAGACATTGTGGGTGCTCCATCACTGGAGGTTTTTAAAAAGAGACTGGAGCGCCATTTGTCCGGAAGGGTGTAGGCCAGGGTCTCCTGCCTTGAGCAGAGGGGTTCGACTAGAAGACCTCCAAGGTCCCTTCCGACTCAGTTATTCTGTATAGTACCGCTAGTTCAGATCGATTCACGGGGTCTGGCAAAGGAAAGCAAAACGGGCAAGTCCGAAGAAGAAGGCGAGTCACTTTTTCCTACCGGCTGGTTAAAAAAAGAAAAACCCGGAACACGCCAAGTAACTTTTCCGACGTCCAACCAGCTTTCTTTAAAAAGGGCAGCCGGAGCTTCAACCCTCAACATCTTGGCGAGCCGCACCGGTCTCCGCCCGGCCTCCCTTGCTCGCCCTGCCCGACGGCCTCACCTGGTACTCGGCCAGCTCGGCGCCGTGGCGCTCCTGCTGCGCCAGCTGCTCCTCTTCCAGCCGCTCGCCCAGCGCGCAAAGCTCCCGGCAGCGGCGCCACAGCTCCTCGAGGCGGAGGCGGCTCTCCTGGTTCTGGTCGCGCAGCTTGCGCAGGTCTTGATGGCCGAGGCGGCCCTCCAGCTCCTGCAGCGCCCGCAGCTCGGCCTCGTAGCGCTCCAGGCTCTGCGCGCAGCTCCAGCTCAGCACCAGCGCGTAGTCGGATTCCAGCTGCCGCTTCTCCACGCGCCCAGCCCGGAGGACGCGCGGAGCAGGCAGCAGCGCAGCCGGGCGCTGCTTGCGTGCTTCCTGCAGCCCTTCATGCTCGGCCAGGAGTTGCTCCAGCAGCGCCTCCAGAGCGGCGCAGTCGGCCCACAGGCCGGCCAGCTGCTGCTCCTGCCGGGCCAGCTCGGGTTCCAGGCGGCGGAGGCGCATCTCTCCAACTTGTGCGCTCAACCTCTCCAAGCTCTCCAACTCTTGGCGCAGCGCATCCCGTTCTAGCTCGGCTTCGCCTTTAGCCCGGCTCAGGTCGGCCACCACCCGTCGCAGCTCGGCCACCTCTTGCTCCGTCTCCTGCCAGCGGCAGGCGCGCCCTTCCCGGCTGCGCAAGGCGGCCAGCTCGTGCGCCAAGCGCCCATTCTCCTGCTCCAAATCCCGCACCTGCCGCACGTAGAGCGCCAGGCGGGCGTTGAGCTCCCGCAGCTCGCTCTGCTCGTCCCATTCGTCCCGCTGCATGGCCGGCCGACGGCTCCCTTCTCCGGCTCCCAGCCCAGCCCGAGCGGCTCCTCCGAGGCGTGCTGCCCGCTCTTTGCCCGCCGGCAGCTGCTCCGGCGTTTTGGAGACGGGACGGGACGGAGGGTGGGGAGAGCGCCGGGCTCAGGCGGCCGAGCAGCGGCCTCTGCTGGCGGCTTTCGCTCCCGGGGAGGCTTCTTCAGGGGGACCCACCCAAAGTCCGCTTTCCCGAGAGATTTCTGGCGTGGGCGTGGGAGAAAAACACAAAAAGGGATGACCCAAAATATCTTGAAGTGAGAGGCAGGAAGCCCAACTTTGGACAAGATGTTGGATGGAGTTTCCCCTCCTTAATGGTTTTCTTTTTTTAATGTATTTATATATTAAGTGTTCCTATTACTTTATCTGTGTAATATACAGATAGTCCTCAGTTTATAACCATTCATTTACTGACCGTTTGAAGTTACGGCATTGAAAAAAGTGACAAGCAAAGTCAATAGGGAAGGCCACAATCACTTAACAATTGTGTTACTAACAACCGCCGTGACTTAACAACTGTGGCCAGGTAGTAAAATGGGGCACTGTCTCAGTAACGGAAATTTGGGGCTGCATGATATTTTCCTTCATTTCCCCCTCCAATAATTTTATTAAAGATTCTATTACACAGCTAAAAGTAATAGAAGTGCGTAAGACAGAAGTACATTAAAGAGGAAAAGGGTAAAATTATAAAGAGCAGAAAAAAGAATTGGGAAAGAAAAAGGAGTCGCTGTCTTCATCCCTGGCAAGTATAATCAACATTAACAACTTAACCACAACTAACAATATATCACTGTCTTAATATCTCTTGCTTGAGCCTGGGGTTGGATAGAAGATCTCCAAGCCCCTTCCAACTCTTAAATTCCTCATCCCATGCTCTATAAGCCTGTCTCCAAAACCTCATTTCTCCGTATTAATCAGCAAAAGTAAGGATGATCAGAAATAAGAACATACTATCTACTTATCTATTACAATCAGATTGAATTCTTATTTTTATATTTCTGTCTCCATTTCTATTTAAATAGATTCCTCCCAATTTCCTCTCTTCAAAATAGTCAAAAGTCCCAATCAGAAAATCTATTAAAGACCAACTCATTATTTTAACCTTGGTCTGATAAACCACTGTTTGTAATCTTTCTTCTTCCTTCCGATGATCTTTAAATCCCTCAAAGGAAATTCTAACGTGTTTTTTTTTCCCCATGTTCTTTTTGTTTCTTTTCCCAAAATTGTTAACTTTGTCAGGCTTTTTTTGTCCTTCCAGTGTGGCAACTTCCAACAGATCCCTTTTGTAAATCCAATTAAAAAAAAATTATCCATGTTGTGTTTCTGGTTTATTATTTGGATATCTTTTTAAAATTTCAAATCTTCACCAAATTCCATTTGTAAACTCATTTTTCCATACTTTTCTTTTCTTTTCTTAAAAAAAATCCATCTATAAGTCAGTTTCAATGTTATTCAATGTGGTTTGTTCCTATTCAATTCCAATACAGAATTAAATAATGACAAAACTTCCTGGGCGTTCCCAATAACACATTTCTTTTCAAACTGCCCTCTGATGCCCTCTTGTGTCCAATTTCCACATTTTTATCAGTATCCAAGCATTAACAAGGGGGATTTTCCCAGGAGAAAGGATTAACTTCAAAGTCTTCCATCAGGCTCATCTGAGCCAATATTCCATTTAAATCTTTACAGTAATAACTGCAATCATCCTTTTGCTGTATATTTCAGGGTAGGGGAGCGGGGAGAGACTTATAAAACTTGTAATTTTCTGTCTTAACAGACTAAAGAAGAACCCGCTCATTAACACACAACCAGACTTGTGGTTCTGAAGGCAATCTTTAACAAAGCAGCTAAAGAAACAACCAAACAACCGAAGAGATTTAAAAGATCAGCTTTAGTTGAACCCTGAGTCTGTAAAAGTCTACTTTAATAGCTTTGAGCTTGGTGGGGTCCTACAATTCCCAGATGTTTGCAAGAAACCACAAAAGCATTTATTTTTGCTGTGTACTCACAAAAAAATGCAACAAGAAAAAACAGCTGTCTAGAGTACATATGGGTAATCTCAAATTCTCTCCTAGATCCGGGGGGGGGGGGAAATCGGCAATCTGGATCCAGCCTAGAGCTAATCCACAGTTTACGAGCATTTTTTTAGTCACTGTTCAAAATTACAATGGCACTCGAAAAAAAGTGATTTACAACCAGGCCTTGAACTTATGACTGTTGCAGCATCTCCAGGGTCATATGATTAAAATTCAGATGCTTGGCAGTTGGCAACCAGTGCAGTGGCCTAGAGGTGGAGCTCCTGCCTCACAATCAGGTGGTTGTGAGTGTGTTGTGCTTCGCTGGCATCAGGCTGGGACGGCTGAGGTCTCGGAGAGCGAGGACTCAGATGAGGGACCTGTGTGCGAGGCAGGGATGGAGTCAGGATTCTCAGGGAGTGGGGTGCTGCCTTCGGAGATTGTGGAGTCTGGCAGCAGTGAGGAAGAGGACCCCGAGGACCCCAGTGCATGTGCACGCAGGGCTGCTCGAAGGAAAGAGCAGCTGCAGCAGCACGGGCGACTCGGGAGTAAGGCTGCAAAGTGATGGCCCCTCCCATAAGGGATAAAAGCCAGCTGAGAGACTGCAGTTCTTTGTAGAAGGCAAAGAAGCTTTACACTCGAGCCTGGTGGACGTTAGGAATATCTGAGTTGGTGCTTGGAGACTCTTTGTGTTTGAATTATTGCTTAGTAACTTTATCTGGTGTTCTTGGCAGCCTTGCAAAACCTTGGCAAGGCTCTTTCTTAGCGGAGCTAATTGGTTTGAAGTGGCCTTTTACCCATGAAGGAATGGGATTCATAAAGAAACATTAAAAGGTTGTGCTGTTACCTTTGTCTCGTATTTGCTTCCTTGGAACCAGGTTTGGGTAAGAATAGAGTTTGATCCTAGGTAGAGGCTAATCTTTGGAACAGACTCTCCTGCTCATGCAGAGGGGTTAGACCAGATGACCTCCAAGGTCCCTTCCAAACTCTCTTCTATGTGCTTATAACAGTTGCAGTTGATTGCCATTTTGTGACCTTCCCGGCTGGTTTTCAACAAGCAAACTCAAAGGAGGAAGCCAGATTTACTTAATGGCTGGGTGTGGTTCACTTAACAACTGCCGTGATTCCCTTAACACAAAGCAACCGCAATGACAAGGCCAGAGAGCTAAATTGCCTTCTCCCCTTGTGATTAAAGCAAGCATTCGAGACCAAATGGTAGGTACTGAGCATCAGCATAATATTTAGAGCAGTTCTTTTAATGGAAAAAGCCAAACGTTTACCATCTGAACACTTTGAAAAAGAGATCTGAAAAGTCCTAAAGAGGGCATAAACTTGCTATGGGTTTGCATTCCCCAGTGGAACAAATGGATGGGCTCAGAGGATATTTGGAGCAGCTCAACTCCAACTGGACACCTGTCCCATAATCCAAGGGGGGGGAACCATGGCCTGGTTATGACTTGTGGACTTCAACTCCCAGAATTCCTGAGCCAGCGTGGCCCCTTTACAACCTGTGAACTGTTGTGGCCCACAGGCAACTGGCAGTGCTGGCAGCAGAGTCGGACAGCAGTGAGGAGGTTGGGGAGGAACCTGGGCCATTCCTGGAGGCTGAGGAAGGCTCGGTCGAAGGTTCTGCGCCAGAGGCAGAGACGGGGCCGGGGCAGTCCGGCAGTCATCAGCTGCCTTGGGGCTCGGACAGCAGTGAGTCAGGGGAAGTTCTGGAACTGGTTCCCAGCCTGCGCATGTCCAAAGCTGCCAAAAGGAAGGCACAATTAAGAACTCAGGGTCAACACAGGAGTAAGGCCACAGGTGGGTGATGAATGGCCCCTCCCATAGGGATTAAAAGAGGAGCAACAGGGAAGGGGGCTTTTGCAGGAAGCAACTCGCTCATTCGGTCGTTTGTTTGTTCCAGCCTCGTGGAGATTTGTCTGTGCAACCAGGGGTGGGGTTCAAATTTTTAACAATGGGTTCTGTGGGCGTGGCTTAGGTGGTGGGCGTGGCTTGGTGGTCATGTGACTGGGTGGACATGGCTTGGTGGTCATGTTATGGGCTGGGTATGGCCAACTCAATATCACTCACATCGAGATATGCATCCCCTCACCTGGCCTCTCACGGCAACAGTCGTAAGTGTGAAAAATGGTCATAAGTCACTTTTTTCAGTGCCATTGTAACTTTGAATGGTCACTCCACACAAGCAAAGTACCAGCAAAGGAGGGGAAAAAACCTCCAGAGAAATTCCTGAGAAAGGAAGTCTAGTCCTGCCAAGAATGTGATAAGGGTTAACGGAGAGGCAGTTTCTGTAAGCAACACCAGAATGTTTCCTTCCTGCCTTCCTTACAGGATTAGACCAGTAATTTCTTCTAACAACTGGTTCTCCAAACTGCTTAGAATGTTAACAATTTAGCGAATAGGTGCGAACCGGTAGAATGCCACCCCTGTGTACAACCCAGCCCTTCCCTGCCAGCACTGAGCGTGGAACTATTTACCGGGCAGTGTTCCAGGATTGATAAAGGTCTGAGCTCATTAGTCTACCTTTGCAAGACTGCTTGCCCAGCTGTTGGCTGACTGTGAATGAAATAAATTCACATTAATGTAATGAAAGAGGTTTTTGCTGGGACTCAGAATTGACTTAATGCTTTTTGGGGAGGCCTAGGACAGAACATGGACTTCAACTCCCACAATTCTTGAGCCAGCATGGTTGGCTCAGGAATTCTGGGAGTTGAAGTCCAAAAGCCATAAATGGGCCATGTTACCACACCCGTGCCATAATCCTTTCAGAAAACAGCTAAGGCTGTGCTCTTCTGCAGATCAGTCCGCAAGGAGAGACCTGTTTAAGGCAGGCTACATTTAGCAGACAGTTGTTGGCTTGGCCATCAGGAGTTGTTGTGGTGATTGTTGCTAACTTGTTTTCGTTGCTCTAAAATAGATAAATCGCCTCAGACCTGTTGAATAGGGGAGAGACAAACACCTACAAATAAACTGAAATAAAAATAGTTGGCTTTCTTTTTTTCCAACACCATCTTTCTTTCAAG